AAAGATGATTATTTTGTATTTTTGTCTGTCTGATTGAATGCTTGTGTTAACAAATAAATCAGAGGTTACTCAACAGTTGAGTAGTTTTTTTTACCAAGCATTTTTTTACTCTTACTCAAGTAATTATTTGGATGATTACTTTTACTTTTACTTGAGTCATATTATTCTGAAGTAACAGTACTTTTACTTGAGTGCAATTTTTGGCTACTCTACCCACCTCTGATTATATTATATCTGTACACCATTAAGCGAAGAGTGCCTGACTAATTCCACAGATATTCCCTTCTCTCTCTAAGCAGTACCCAAGGTCAGGTTATAGATAAAGGACCAACCAACAGGGCATTGTTGTGTCTATGCTTAGGGACTTTCATATCTAACTCAGATTAGAGACAGAGAGGACAGAGGGACAGAGAGGCACCAACTTCAACTCTTTTAAGTATTACACCAGTGGCATGACATAAGGACACAATGTGATTTAGGAATGTATATTTAGACTTAACTATCCAATAGGATGCAAACACCTACATACACAGCAATTCTAGCCATTCATTGGTGTGTTGTTAGAATGGGTGATGCAAGTAGAGGAAAATATTCTGCATAAGACATCAGTTGCTGCCTTAGTTCTCTTTTCACCAGCTTCCAGAAAACATCCATAACAGTCATGACTGTACTTGCGTGTCTTATCCTGAGGCAGGTTGTGAGCCATTTGAGCATTGCTAGATAAAGTTCTCTCCAATAAACCCAAGAATCTGTCCCTTGTATGGTTGTCATAGAGCATCTCTGCTACCTCTGTCTGTTGTAATGTTTGAGTCCTACAACCCACTTATACCTTCCTGTAATCCAGGTTATCCTGCACCTCCTGGGCACACCATTCATGTGGAGACTTTGTTTTAAAGATCAGCACCAGTTCTTTAGATGGGCAATTATGAATGAATATAATAACTGCATGGCAACTCAGATCAGTAACAGGCTCACCTTTACTGACTAAACACTATTCTGTCATTTCAGCTACCTTGTTAGATCTAATCCAGTAGTCTAAAGGGCTTTCCCCAGCCAGAGGCTGCACTGCATAGAAATCAACCAGAGGCAAGTCAGAATGTACAATGCCTCCAAAATTGTGACTGAGTTCACCATAAACCACATTGATATCAGAGACATTAGGGTTGCTACGCAGCCAGACTTTAGGGACATCTCCAGCTTACTGAGTAATCTATTCATGTGTGATTTATTTTATTTATTTGTTTAGGACAATGCACATTAATTAACATATCAGCAAAAAGCATCAATATAAATATGCTGGAGTTAGCACAGTTGCTAAATTTCATCTGCAGCTATCATAAAATAAAACATACAGACAATACACCATAACAAATGTATAAAACATGACTTCCTTGATACATTCAGCACCACTGTAACCCTGTTTTCAAGAATTGTTCTGCATCGTCTAAAATGCTGCAGCACGAGTGCTGACAGGAACTAGAAGGAGAGATCATATCACTCCTGTCTTAGCTTCCTTACATTGGCTCCCGGTAAAATTTAGAATAGAATTCAAGATCCTGCTCGTCACATATAAAGCCATTAACAATCAAGCCCCTTCATATTTCAAAGAGCTCAGAACACCATATTATCCAAATAGATCACTTCGTTCCCAAAACACAGGCTCTCTTGTGGTTCCAAGAGTCTGTAAAAGTACAACAGGATGTAGAGCATTCAGCTACCAGGCTCCTTTCCTGTGGAGCAATTTTAAACAAATAATCCTTGATTCGGCAGAGTTAGGGCTAATGATGTTACTTAAAAAACAGCATATGCAAACATAAACTCAGCTAATAAACTTTAAATCTGTTAACAAAACACAAAATAACAAACACCCCAAACTCACTTGCGGCTATACAAAACACTCAAAGTGGTGTACTCTAGTGATGTGTCAGTCGCGAATTAGACGGCTCTTTGAAGTGAACGATGGGATATGTTTTGTTTTTTTTAAATTGGTTTTCTCTTTTTTCTGTTCAAGATGCAAGCACAGTCAATATGTGCGGTGTCGCCTGTGTGACTGCGCTCAGTGCGCTGAGCAGGAGGGGCAAGGATACACACACAGCATGGTCAGTGAGCACACCGATAGGAGAGAGGGACACAGACGAGAGAAAAAGCGAGCAGGCGCTAGAGAGCGACAACACACAGGAAAGGTAAAAAAAAGGAACAATTTTGAGAAAATCAGTGACAGCAGGAAACGCAGTAAGATTTGGAGTCATTTTAATAATATTAACAACACAAGGGCAGAGTGTAGAGTCTGCAAGATTAAAATTTCATATAAAGCAGGCTCCACGAACAACCTGCACAGGCACATGAGAACTGTTCATCCCTCAGTGCAAATTGAAGACAAAAGACAAGCAAGTGAACCTACTATTAATGAAGGTGCCAGTGTGTCTACTGTAACTGTTGCTGCTGCTGCACTGTCTACATCATCCAGTACACCACCACAACTAGGCCTACCTAAATGAGCCAGTTTTTACAAACGTCTTTGACCCCAGCAAGACAGAACACTATTGATGAAGAACTGGCAAAAATGGTTGCACAAAATTTCCAACCATTTTCAATCGTGGATGATAATGCCTTACATATGTCATGGCATGGAGACTGTGCATTGTAGGGACATCAGTCCCCTCAGAGAGAATGTTCTCCAAAACAGGACAGATAATTACTGAAAGAAGAAACTGGATCAACCCTCAAAGCTGAGGCATTTAGCTTTCCTTAATGCCTATCTTAGCTAAAGAGTTGCTAAAACTGTTACCTGTCTTTTTGTTTTACATATTTTAATTTATATTTTGGTGTGTGATTCTGCAAGCTTATCTGTTGTTTCTCTGTAAATTGTTACTTAATAGAAAGAAGCTAAAGGTTTTAAATCATAGAAAGTTCAATTACAAATAGTTACAAATGTTTTTCGGTTTTTTCTAATTTATTGTTGCAGCAGTATATAAATAAAACTATATAAATAATAAACATTTGATATAGTGTATGCTTTTTATATTAATAATTAATTTACACATAATTTTACATCATTGTTGGTAAAAAATTCATTTAAGCAACAAACAAAAAAATTGAGGAGCCACTTGGGAGCTGAAGGAGCCGGCTCTTTTTAGTGAGCCGAGCCAAAAGAACCGGCTCACTTAAACGAGCCTGAATTCCCATCACGAGTGTACTCAAACAATTTCTAGCATCCAAATCCTACACTGACAAACCCCCAGAACTAGTCAAAAATTACATTTCACAAAGGATCTATGGTGTGCTGCCAATCAACTGCCCTGATTGAAGATTCAGCTGGAGGTTATGTAGGGAAGATGCTCTCTGATTGGTAGGGGGGCTTGGGAATCCATCAATTGGGAGGAGGGAGAAGAGATAATAGCAGGGGCTGCTGAGTGAAGGCAGGCCACGCTTCCATCCGTGGGAGCCAATCTTGCACTGGAGACCGCTGCACTTTTAAGAGTAACGGCTGGATGGTGAACCCAGGTGCAGACACAGACAAGGAGGCAGGAGTTGGGAAAGTTATTTATTGAACTTAAGACTGAGGCTGGAGTAATGGGGGTAAGGGTGGCAGGTCCAGAAGAATGTCCCAGGCGGAGGGTTTGAGGCAGGGTTCCAGGTTAGCAGGTGAGTACTTGGTGAGTTGGCAAGGGGCAGGGACTGGAGCCAGAACAGGAGGAGCTGGAAGGGAAATGGAGAACAGGATGAGACCAGGCAACAGTTAGTATACAACAAATGGCGGGAAGTGTAATAACACTGATGGGTAGCAGAGACTACGATCTGGCAGTGTGGAGGTGGTCAGGAGGAGTATATGAAGAAGCTTGATGACAGATGAGGTGCAGCTGGTGAGGGTCTGCTCTGACTCCAGTGCACCTGTAGGTAATTCACAAAAACAGGAAGGACTTCTCAGAGAGTGGTAGCCAGTTAGTGGTTCCCAAAACTAGAGGTAGAGGAGCAGTTTGAGGGGCAGATGTAACACGCACAGCCTACATAAACACACAGCTTTAAATATCCCAAGGCAGCCGTACTAACCTGAAAGCACTTTTGGCCAGTGCTCCTGTTCTTGCTGCACCTGACCATAACATGTTGATCATCCTGTTTGCTGTTTGTCTAAGAAGTTCAACACGCATCAGAGACATTATTCGACCACAGAGAAGGAGGCCTTGGCCCTTATCTTTGCTCTCGATCAATTTGATGTTTATGTGTCTTCTAGACAGGATCTGTTGGTCTACGCAAACCATAACCATTTTGTTTTTCTCAGCAGGATGAGAAACCCCAAACACAGTGATGCAATGATGTTGCCTCTTGAGTTTGTTCTACTACCACAAAATTCACAGAGTAGATAAAAGAGGAGTATGTTAGTCATTTTTAATATTGGTGTTCTCTTGCACATTATCAGTCATATTTACAGAAACACTTTAGAGGGAATCCTTTCACATTTCAATCAATCTGTCACATTTTATTTGTATCGCCCATATTCACAAATCACAATTTGTATCATACGGCTTTAAAAAGGTGTGACATCCTCTGTCCTTAACTCTCAACAAGAGGAAGGAAAACTTCAAAAAGACAACTTTTAACAGGATAAAAAAGGATGTAGAAACCTTAGAAGTGCAATAGATGCCACGTGTAATGGAGAACGTCAGAAAAGAGTATTGACAGCACTGATTGAGTTAACAGGTTGTAGCATGATGGTAGTTAAATTAATTGAGGAATTATTGTCAGTAATGGTAGAGTACCTGAGCAGGTATATTGTATATCAAGTAGTCTTGTAATCATAGTCCACGATCAGCAGCCACCACGATCAGGATACACCATTATAATCCATCATTATGATCCACTGCTGCCATCAGGATCCACCATCAGCTGCCACCTCGATCGTGGTCTACCACTACGATCAGATACCAGCACGATACAGGATTTGCCATACAGCCGCAGCCCCAAGATCTGCCAACAAGGCATAGGGGCTCCAGGGAAGAAGTCAAGTCAGTAACATATGATGATGAGACATACATTTCTTTGATATGATAAAGAAGGAGAAGAGGAAAGAGAAGCTCCATGTGTCATGTGTCCCCTATAGACCTATAGCAGCATAACTAAGTGCAGCTCGAAGACAATCCTGGACCAGCTCTAACTATAAGCTTTATCATAAAGGAAGGTTTTAAGCCTACTCTTAAATGGAGAGAGGGCGTCTGCCTCCACAACTGAAACTGGGAGATGATTTCACAGGAGAGGAGCCTGATAGCTGAAAGCTCTGGCTATTTTTCGATATTTTAGGGACTACAAGTAAGCCTGAATTATGGGAGCGCAGTGCTCTTGTAGGGTGATATCATACTATGAATGCTTTAAGGTATGATGGTGCCATATTCAGGGCCTTGTAGGTGAGGAGAAGAATTTTAAATTATATTCTCGATTTAACCGGAAGCCAGTGTAGTGAAGCTAATACAGGAGAAATGTGATCTCTTTTCATGGTTTTTGTCAGGATACGTGCTGCAGCATTTTGGACAAGCTGCAGGGTCTTTAACGACTTACTGCTGGAGTCTGATAATAAGGAATTACAATAATCAAACCTGGATGTTACAAAGGTGAGGACTAGTTTTTCTGCATCTTTTTGAGACTGAAAATGTCTGATTTTTGAGATATTATTTAAGTGAAAGAAGGCGGTCCTAGAAATTAGTTTTAAGTGAAAATCAAAGGACAAATCTAAATCGAAGACAACTCCCAAATTCCTGACTGTTTCACTAGAAGCGAGGGCAATGCCATCTACAATGGCTATATCATTAGATAATGTATCTCAAAGATTTTATCTGAGTTTAACATGAGAAATTTGCGGGTCACCCACATTTTAATATCCTTGAAACATGCTTGAAGTTTAGTTAATTGATTACACTGTTCTGGTTTTACTATAGGTAAAACTGGGTGTCCTCCACATAGCAGTGGAAATTTACAGAGTGTGTCCTGATAATGTTTCCTAGTGGAAACATATATAATGAGAATTAAATTTAGGCTGAGCACAGAACCCTGAGGAACACTGTGGTAACTTTGGTGCGCACAGATGACTCATCATTAATTTGCAAAAATTGGAATTAATCTGAAAAATAGGATTCAAATCAGTTTAGGACAGTTCCTTTAATGCCAATTAGCTCTTCTAGTCTCTGTAATAAAATGTGATGATCAATAATGTTGAATGCTGAACTAAGATCTAACAGGACAAGGAAAAGACACATACCCTTGATCTGAAGCTATTAGAAGGTAATTAGGCTGTCTCCGTGCTATGATGGGCTCTAAACCCTGACTGACACTCTATACTTCCCTGGAGAAATTCACACAGCTGATTAGCTACAACATTCTTGAGGATTTTGGACAGGAATGGGAGGTTGGATACAACTTTTAATTTCTTTAAGCAACTTTGTAGGAATGGGATCTAAGATACCTTGTGGGTTTAGATGATGAAACTATTGTGGTCAACTGATTAAAGGTGATCAGAGGGAAGTTGTCTAAATAATTATTATGATTCTCAGCTGTTCCAGAGATCTCTGTGTTTGATTTTTATTTCTAATAGTTAGAATTTTACTGTGAAAGACATTTACAAAGACTTTGCTATTTAGGGATGGAGGAATACTGGGTTGGATGCAGGTGTGACTCTCTGTCAGCCTAGCTACAATGCTGAAGAGAAACCTGGGGTTGTTTTTTAATTTTCCTCTATTAATGTGGAGTAGTAAGCAGCTCTTGCTTTGTGGAGGGCATTCTTATATGCTTAATAACCCCTCCACCCAAATCATATAAGTGCTCTTCTCTATGTCAAAAAAAAGGCCACTTCACTTTCCCCTGTAATCTGTGCTTTTCGTAATTCATGTTCTAAACATATTGCAGTGTCCACAGTTTTTCTGCCTCCTCTGAATCCACTCTGAGGCATAGTGACCTTTGACCTTCGTCCACCAAATTCTAACCAGGTCATTCATGAGTCAAAGTTAACTTTTGCATTTAATTTGAAGTCATTCTATCAAGCTGACCTTTAGATATCATGTTTTCATTGCAATCGCAATGGAGAGAAAACAGGAAGGCGGTTTTACAGAATTCAGAAAGAAAAGTAGGTATGATAAGAAACATGAGTAGAACCCAGTAGAAAGGAACCAATAACATCTAGGTTACGTTTTGGTCATACAGGATTGAACAGTGCATTATTTATAATAGGAAAACATCACAGGTGTAAATCTTTGCAACACGAACTTTAGAACATCTTAAGCTCTACTGCCCAAAATATGAAGTTGAAAGAAAGGAACTGATACTGAAGCTTAAAGAAATAAAGCTGAATTATGAATTATCTGATCTTTTACATTGAAGTTCAGGAAAAAAAATGTTATCCATTTTGTTTCAGTATCTCAGCAGGACAAACTTGATAGAGATTCTATATATTGAATTTCTTTTAGAACGAGTGAATTCATTTAGGTTCCCTATTCACACATCCACACTCCAAACCAGATGATGGCGGTAATGCACCATAACTTTGTTTACCAACCGCCATCAAACATGAGAAAGAAGAGGAAATGGTTTTATTTTGAATGCAGTAGCCGGAAGTTGCATTTGTTATTGTTGTAGGTTTAATCGTTCGAGCCATATTAGGTGCAGACTCTAACGCTTGGCTAAATTGAGGACACAAACGTGAGCTCGCGGTTCATAAATGAGATAGCAAAACACTGAGGAACCCGTAGAACTGAACACATGGATCCTAACCGGATAATGCAGGCTCTCAAAGGGACTATCGACCCTAATCTGAGAATAGCGGCGGAAAATGAACTCAATCAGGTGGGTGAGCTGAACTAGTTTGATGTCTGTTGTTTTCAGAGGGTGCACCGCGGACCGCTTTTGTTCAGGAATGATGTCGGTGGTATCGAAGGAGCGTAGGCCGTGTTCCGTTGAGTCGAACTCGACTACGGCCTGGTGAATCTGCATCCCTTCTCAGCAGTTCACGTCAGGCCTGGGATCACCGCTTCCACACTGTGACTCATCTGCATTGCAATCTTATACGAGTCAGTTCCGACAGCTATCGTGATCCACCAGTGATAGCTAGTCTTGATCCTGTCACACACACTCACACACAGGCTCACAGGCGCTTCCGCTGGAGTTTGGTACTAATGTTGGAGTGACAGCTGATATAACTTAATGTAACAAGTACAACATTTCTATGTTTTCATTCCACCTGAAACCTAATCAGGTTTCTTTACCCTAAATGCATTAGCTTGGATAATTTTACCACATTTTTCTTCATCCAATTGCTCATTACCCCGGTTTTTATGTTCAACCTGTTCCCTTGTAAGTCAGATTTTATGGTGAGTAGCACTAAGTTTACTTAGAAATTGTCCTCTCCTCTTGAGATCCCAAACCTCCCAGTATAACAGGGGAGGGGAACCTTTTTCTATCAAGGGCCGTTATAATTTTCATACCATACTTTGAGGTCCATGCTAAATAATTGTTTATCATTAACACATATATAACACCAGGGCTCTAGACTAAGTTCTTACATTGGTTACACTGGTGTGCCAAAACAGCACATAATTTAGGTTCACCCAATATTTTTCACTGTCCCATTTTGAAATGCAATAACACAATAACACACCTATTAAACCTTTCCTCCTATATACATTGGTAATTTCTTAATTAGGCCCGGGTATTAACACTGATTACTCAAATCAATTTAACAAGGTCCCCATTCGATTCAATATTGAATCAGTTCAGGATATTTCATTGTGCAATACACATTTTGCTCGGATATGTTCAAGGAAACCTCTAAATTGGTGCATTATTAAAAATATTAAGCTATCTGTCACGATAACTAATTTTGTTGGACGTTACATATTGTCCCAGAAAATATTGTGATGAATTATATTATTGTCATCCTTTTGAAACCATTTTATACCACTGATAATGCAATAGCATGATCATGCAAGCAGTCTACACCCTTTCATATAGCAATTAACTTAATTCTTAAGAATATTCAGTCTGACATTTCAGTTTATTATTATTATTTAGTCGTTTAGCAGATGCTTTTATCCAAAGCGACTTACAAGGGAGACATAACACAAAGATCTTTGTGTAACAATAAATACTACCCTACGTTTAAGGGCAGAGATTAGGTAATTATTTGCAGGAGATGGTGGTAGGGGAAAGGAAAGGAGAGACCAATAGTGCTAGAAAGCAGAGGAGTGGTAGAAGTTTCAGAATCAAAAATATTAAAATATACATAAATCATTAATTAAGTAGTAATTAAGTTAACCACACACAACCAAAACAATAAATAAAATGGACTCTCTGGCTCTGTTAACAAAAATAGCTCTTGAATAAATATGACACATTTGGCACCTGATATATGTTACTATCTCTGTAAACTGGATGGAATGGTTATGAGCTTTTAGGTCTGTATTTTATTAGATTAGTATTTCAGCGTTGCACCTAGGATTGTGTGTGTGTGTGTGTGTGTGTGTGTTTACATGTCTCATGAAATCTGGAGCAAATCAAAAAAACAAAGTAAACTTCAGTAATGCTTAGGTCCTAATAAAGTGATGAGTGTTGTGTTAATTGTTTAAGTGTATAGTGAGAGCAGGAGTGTGGAGGGAGGACATTCAGACAGAAAATATGACACAGTACAAACCAACTGCTCATTCACATTAACAAGTTTTACCCCATCATACCCGCCTTACTTTCTGTTTCTCCCATAGACTGTATATAAAGGGTCATATACAGTTAAATATCAGAGGTGCACAGGTCCAAGCAAGGAAAGCGTTAGTTGCACTTCACAGATTTTTGGTTGCATGTGTGTTTGTTTTTTTTGTCTTTATGAATGACCTCATGGGGCGGATCGCACAATCTTTCAGGCCGTATAAAGCCCAAGGGGCACAACCTCTGTGCCCTCAGTAATAGCAAGAGACCAGTTTGAATGCTCAATAAATTTAACCCCGGGCTTGTCTGTCTGCCTTAAAACACTAATCAGTTAAAACATGTAGGGAGACTAGAGTTAGTTAAATAAACTTTAAATATAATGAATTGCCTAATTCCTTGTGCAAAGAATCAGGCCTGGCTCAAGCACATATATACAATCTGATTTATAAAGTCAATTTAGTACTTTTACATGTTTGGGTCTTTTCATACATGTTTGGACTGTTAAGTAACTTTTTACAGTTTATTCCAACTCTGTCAGTAATTTACTGCTCCTCTCTGTGTCTCCATCATTGGCGGTGTCACTGCCAACCAAATCAAGCCAAACAGAGTACGCCCCGGCTCTCCATACATTGCCCAAGTTTACGAATTCAGTTTTTTTTTACCCAGTCTGAGTTAACAGGTATCCGATGACACTGTGTGTGTCAGTGTGTCGGTGTGTGTGTGTCAGTGCAAGAGAGGGAGAGAAGGAGAGGCAAGTTGCCAGAATGAGCTGAATTAATTAATTGATGCGCGTAGCTATGAAGAAAGATTTTACTCATTTAACAAAAGCATTGATCATTATGTGGTGCTTATTGTTTATATTGTGGCTGTCACGTCTAAAAAATCCACGTCAACGTTGTCTGTATGGGTCTGTGCATTTGTATATGAGTGTATCGTAGGGCTGCACGATACTGTATAATGGAAATCTATTGTTATCGCAATATCAACGTGCTCAATAGACATATCGCAAAAAGACGGCAAAAACTGCAATAAATGATGATCCATGCGCCACGCATTCACACTATGCATGTTAATATATTATCAGATAGAGCCCTGCTGTCCTAGATGATAAATGAAAGACATTCAGGTCATTGACAGGGATTTCTGTCAGTGAATCATTGTCGGAAGAAGAGAATTTGAAAACAAAGATTTGACAGAGCGAAGGGGCTCCTTCAAATCTCGCTCCACCTCCTCCAACTAAACTCTACTGTGGAAACGTCTAGTGATCACGTCAACTTTTCACAGTCCGAACATGTATGAAAAAACTAAAAGTAAACAGTAAACAACAAGTTAATCATTGTCTTTCAGTCAGATGTTTTTCATCTTCCTGACTTGTTGTTTGTCCAGAGAAAAAGGAGAGTTATAGTAAGTAAAAACCACAGCATTTAGCTGTACTAAACATTCATATTTTCCTCATAGAAAAATAAAATGTGTTCCTTTTATAAGCTAATTTCCCCTGTGTATGTTGGTATTTGATCCAGAGGCCACTTTTGTTGAGCATCTTGCCCAAGGACACTTCAGCATAGAGATGGGGAAGACTGGGATGGAACTGCCAACCTTCTGGTTGGAGGACTGTAGCTCAGCCACAGCTGCCCACAGCTCTGAAACCTCAGAAACACAAAGCATTTAGCTTTAACAAACATAAATAGCTTTGACATTTTCATTTTAGAAGCTGGTTCAACTGTAGGGGGGTTGGAGGTACAGTCAGAGGCTTCACAGTGGAATATTCAGCAAACATATTTTAACATCTCTAAAAGAAGAATATAACTAAAATATAAACATAGTAAAAAAACATAAAAGTTGACTCCTTTTCTGTTCATCACTTCATAGTACCACAAAAAGTCCAATCCACCAATAAGAGAAGTTATACCTTTATTCTATTACTTTTTTGTCGACATTCAAGAGCAGTTGCCTCTTGAAGTTGGCATCACCAAGCTGGTTTCTCCTTGGCCTAAGTATTTGACTACAAATGAAAAGTCTCTCCACTGGGGCGCTTGGGGGAAGTGTGGTGTTGTACTTTATGAACAGCTTTTTGAGCTTGGCATGTATTCACCAAACCCTTCTGTGGTTTGTGCATCCAAATTTGTGTTCACCAAACCCTTCTGTGGTTTGTGCATCCAAATTTGTGTTCTTAAGAGGTTCTGTGGGTTTTGGTTGAACATGAAGAAAGATGTGACCATGTCTTTGTTGTCTGTGACTTCACTGGACTTTGATTGATCAGAGCTTTGTGCATATGAGCCATCAAAGTTAACAGTTTAAAATTCTTGTTTCAACATCACTTTGTACTGTAGCTGTTTCTCCTCATCTTCTACCCAGTTGAGGTTGAATGTTGGCAGCAGCATAGCTGCCAATATGTGCTCCTTCTTCTAAAGCAAGCCTACCAGTCTCATTATCAGTGACTGTATGATGTTCCGTATAAGGGGACGGCATGTAATCAGACCATGTGGAGCAGTGCACTCATCCAACAGGCCATTCAAATAATTTTGCAGTTGCACGATGGTTGGAGCCAAGTACCCGAGGAAGATGTTTTTCTCACCCTGGAGGATGTTCAGTGCAAATGCTAAGGACCTCATTACATCCACAAATTTGTGTATGAAGCTGATTTCCGCTAGAGAAAACCAACGAAAGCCAAACTCATCACAGACAGTGTGCAGTAGAAGGTCGTCATACAAAGGAACAGCTCCTGACACAGCAGTGTCAGCAGTCTCATTGGTATCTGGATTTAATGTCACTATGTGAGACAGTCGCTCCATAGTGGGATATATAGAGTTCCATCATGTATTGTTGGGTAACAAAAAGCTGATCCCAAGCATTTCCTTGACAAAATCTGATGCTTTAGGGATTCAATTAACCCTGTTCATAGCAGAGCAAGGACAGTGGGAGGGGCCCAGAATCTGCAGACGAGGATTGGGCAAATGAGCTGAATTTGTTTTTCAACAGATTTAAATCTGTCCCTGCTCCCTCCCTCACCCATCAGAACCCAGACCTGTCGCTGCAGCCAACAAGCCCTCCCTACGCCTTTCCCAGGATAACCGGGATACAATCAGCTCCACCCTCCCTCCTCAGGAGTTACCCCCCCCCCATCCCATAACAGCAGATCAGTTGAAGAGAAAGATGACAAAGGCCAAGATGGCTTCAGGCCCTGATGGCATCTGCTCCAGCCAAGCAGCTCTATGAGGTAGTACTGCATATCTTTAATCTGAGTCTCAGTCTGGAGAGAGTCCCAACCCTATGGAAAGCCTCCTGTGTTGTCCCGCTACCAAAGACTGTGCACCCCAGGGAGGCAAACCACTTCAGGCCTTGACTCTTTGCCTGATAAAGACCATGGAAAGGATTATACTCAATCACTTCCGCCCCGTAGTGAGCACTAAGCTGGACCCCCTACAGTTCACATATTCACACCAGGCATTGGTGTGGACAACGTAGTCATCTACCTTCTGCACAGATCCCTTGATCACCCCGAGAACGCCTGTTTGCCTGAACGCTGCTGAATTTCCCAGGTGTTTGGATCAATAAAGTCTTATCTCATGTATGTTTTCCGAAATGTATTTATTTTATTTAAGTTAAGGTATTATGACAATGGCATCACCGGTTGTAACCATGAAACCACTGAACACCTTATGATCTAATTGTTTTGTAGAAGTTTATCCATTTTCACAACACAACTCATTTTGTCATATATCATGCACACACAAATGGAAATACAATTAATTGCAGGGTCAATTATTTAATTAGTTAATTTAGTTTATATGATGTAATAAAAGTTAAACATTTAGGTGATTTGAGTCTTGGTTAAATATTATTTTTGCTGCCATTTATAAGGCTGCATCAATATAATTGATTATATCTGAAATTTGAATATACTGCCGCGAAGACTGTCCCATATTTTTCATCCCAGTTTTACACTCTTACCCATATTTCAATCAAACCGGTATTTAGTTACATTCTGTTCATTAAATGATTTTCAGGAAACACTCTTAAACTAAACTTTGTGAACCTGCTGAAACCCTGTTTTCTCATTTTGTGAAGTGACTGAATTTCTATGTGAATAGAATGTTAAAACTCTCCTATTGTTTTTCTCTGTGTTTCAGTCTTACAAGATCATCAACTTTGCACCAACCCTGCTTCAGATCATTGTGTCAGAGCAGGTGGAGTTTCCTGTTCGTCATGCAGGTAAGACACCAAACAATCCAGAAAATAGAACTGCTGCTGTTTCCAATTCACTGCTGTAGTTCTTTTGGTTGTAAATTTTTAATATTGACAATAATTGACATAATTTCCATCTTCATTCGGTTCCAGCATATTTGGCAAATTAATTCTACTATGTAATTTCCATTGGTCAGAAATGTCATTGGTCCTGTTCATAAGGAAACAGGGAATAAAGGGATCCACAGGACATATTTTGTGTTCCATTCTAACTCAGAGCTCTGCCCTCAGAATGAAGTCACATCTGAATAACCAGAGTTGATAGCATTTCAGTTGCACTTGGTCAGAAGTCAAAGAATAATGGATGCCTCCAGGAAAGCCTGTCTTGTGGTTGCCCTTTCATGTATAAACAACTCCAGAATAATAATAGGTTCATATCCAAAACATGGTGGAAGAGGATAGAAAACGTTTGTCTTTCAGTGTATTTGTCAAAAAACGCTGTGGCTTTTTTAAATCGGCCATTACGGAACCAGTCACCTGAATGGGTGAGAATTCTTTAACGTTAACTATAAATTTAATACATCTCTAGTGTTAGAAACACCCACACTACTAATTTTCATTCATTTTCATTGTTATTTCTTTTTCATCTGCTAATAGTTTTACTGAATTGATTGCTAGTGTTAATTTAACAATTAACTGTCATATTATTTTTACCAAATACTTCATAGATGTATATATCATCGGTTTGTATATTCTAGTAAAGATATATTTT